ATATATTGGACCAATAAAGGCCAAAAGACACAATACTCGATATTTTTATAGACTGCGTCTTTTCTCAATTCTATGATCAAATTTTTTTACGATTTAAGTGAAAAGCAAATGGGTATTCATGAGTTTTAGGACCTCGTTAAATTAATTAATTTTAAACAAAATTTCAGAGAATTTTTGAAAAGTTTTAGACAGATGTTAATAATTTTAGAAAGAAAGGTCAGTACCGCGAACTATAAATGTAAAATAGAAGTATAACATTTCAGTGATTGACAGAATAAAAAATACTATAATATAATAAAAACCTTGTGCATCTCTGTTTAAAATATAACATCATTTGGTCCTCTCGTTTTCCTTCTAGAAGACCTGGGAACTATCTCGTAATGGTATAATCTAATAGAAATAGGGTAATTAAAAACGCCTAATCATCAGTCTTGTTTGGAATTTATTATATAATAAAACACTGAAAATTATTAGACAATGTTCATTATTTAAAAATAGTTATATATGAAACGTAACACTACATTCCTTACCACTTAGAGGAAATAAAATATAGCTATTATTGACTTTTTTTTATAGATCTTTTTTTATTTTTGTTGTTTATTGAGACATTAAGATATCAATCCCAATTTCTTCAGTTAATAAAAAAAATCGCCTCAGCAGTAGAATGTGATAAATATATAAAACGCCATATCACTTCACATAATATTCCGATTTTGACGAATCTTCTTTTTTGTATTTAGAAAACATTGTAATCTTAACTTTGTAAACGAGCATATGGATTATCAACAAAAAGTACATACCTTGAAGTGGGGTAACTTTGGAAATCTTATTTTTTATCACTCGTAACTGTTTTTCTTACTTTTTTTCAGTGAATTAAGATTTATACATAAATTCATAGGGGAGATGGCGCTTTCGAGCTGATGCCTTAATCTAAAGGTAATTAGATTGTCTACAAATTTGAAAAGAAAATGCAATAATGTTTTAGTAACGCATAGTTAGTTAGTGGGCGGGGTGGCCGAACGGGCTAACGTGTGTGCACAGCACCGCCATTGCCTGGCAATTTGATATATTGAGACAATAGATTTAAAATAGTCATGAGTTTGCGTCCCGGTGTCGGGAAAGTCTTTCAACTCCCCGCCCACACCCCCCGACCCGGGGGAGGACAAAAAAAAAAAAAAAAAGTAACGCATAGTTAACTTTTGTGATGTCAACTTTCTGAAACTATTTTACAAAAAATTGGCTCCCAGTAATAACATGTGTAATTTAACGTATTATCCAAAATAGGTTATTCTTCTTGTATTCATACATAAAACTTGGGTTTGTTGATTATTTTGAAAATATTTACAACGAATAGTTTTGAGCTCTTAGTTAATAGTTCTTTATCCGTTCATTTAGAAAGTAATAAAAGATAATAATTTAGTACTATTTAAGATCAATGACAGGGTGGTTGCTCAAGATACAGACCTAAGACTCATGTTATACGAGCTGTATTGCGCCATTAGAGGTGTGATTAAAGACCGTTGGAGGGCGCTGTGATTGATAGTTACGGCACCTGCACTAATTGTTATTAATAGTTGAGCATGACTCTCAGCCAGCGACCGCTTCATCAGTCTTGTTTAATACAGTTCTAAGTGCTGTCCTCTGTGAGGAGGTCATATAGCTGCTAACAGTTACCCCTGGTTATTTCGCAGTTCTATATCTGCAAGATGGCGTTTCTTTAGATTATGTTGTATCTAATCTTTAAGATTCCTGGACTTTTTTTTTGTACTGTTCGAAATCTTGTATAGAAAGGAAGTCTGGATCTGTGGTCAACTATCTTAGCCAGTTTTCTCAGAAATCGGAATAATCTTAACCAAGACTACTGTTTCAAGGTCATTACTATACGGATTATATTGCTGGTGTAGATGATGGTACTATATTATAATGAGTAGTATAATTTAAAGTACTGTAGTATAATGTAATGTGTACCGTTCATTTAACAATAGTTGCTAGTACACCAACTTTCACTTCTCTATTTAATGACATCCTATTTCAACCCATTGGTTAATTTTTTTATTTCTATGTTTATTTATTTAAATTAATTTTTAAAACGCATTCAACCTCCACTAGGTTTTAATACCAGTCATACGGGTTGATACAGAAGCTCGGGGATCGTTTTTCATCCGCAGGTGGGAGTCTGTTTGTTACATAGGTGTTTCTGTGTTAATAGGATTGTTTTATTGTATTTACCTTTTTAGGTTAATCCATCTGTTATTACTATTGTTTTATTTGTTTGTTAATGTGGTGAGAATGTAGCCATTTTATAACTATTAGCATTATCCTTTACTGAAACAGAATCTTAATAAAACAGGTTAATAAAAAATAACAATAAAAATACTTCGACTTACTTATAACTTATACAAAAACATCTTATAATTTTGATATTTTTGTTTTAATTAAAATTTTCAAATGGATTTTCTTCGTACTCAGTTCATTGATTTTGGAAAAGGACGTTTCATTTCCATTTAAAGTGATGATTTAATAAAAAGTTATCCATTAATTTTACTTTAAAAACTGAAAATCTAGCTATATAATGTTTCTTTTATCGTTGTTACATAGATTGTACATTGGCTATACATCTCTATCTTGTGAAAAATATCTCGAAACTTTGTTTCTAACTGCTCCAAACCAATTTGAGAAATAGTAATTCTCATGAACCATAGACAAAAAAATCGTACTAAAAATAAACTGTTATACCACAGGAAATGATATTTACATATTAAAAGTACCCATTTATTTTATTTATTTATTTTTTTGGTTTATTTTTTTTATTCACACCTGTCATAATGGTAATGACAACCAGTGAATGTAAGGTTGATTGGAAAAAATAATGTCATGAAAGGCATTACGAGGATCAGTGCCCAGCGGCACCTCACTCTGCGTGATATCTACATTAGGCGAGGTCCCTCATCCAGCTCCTCTTCAGTCTCCTACAGACGTTACCTGGCATATTCGTAGTGCCCATGTCATTTATAAGTGTATTAGGATGTCCTTGTAAGTTGTCATGGAATCGTTTGTAATGAGTTCGTATGTGTTCGTTAACAGTCGGCATATGGAGGTCGTACCAAGGTTATGTTGCTAACGTACCAAGGTGCTTTTGTGATTGTCCTGAATGTTTTTGCTTGAAAGGTTTGAGGTTTGTTAAAGTGAGTCTTTTTAGCTGTTCCAAATATCTGTGATGCGTAAGTTCAAATAGGTTTCAGTAAGTAATTGTATGTGTTCTATTTCTGTCTAAGTTTTAACTGTGAATTTTTCGAAAAAAAGTGAGTTCAGAATTCTTATTCTTTAATTTAGCGTTTTTCGTTTCTTGATTATATGTGGGCGCCACGTCATTTTTCTGTCTGACTCATTTATTTAAATTTAACTATCATTATTTTTTTTATTGTTTACATCATTAGCATTTAACGAAATAGATTGATGTATTCATCTCTTGCCTATGCATAACGTGTCCCAATAATTTCGAGTTTCGTATGTATTTCTTATAATGTATTAGTAACTAGCTTATAAATAAATGTAAAAAAAAAAACCTGAAGATGGTTTGTTATCCTAAGTTTTTTTTTTCCATTTATGTTTATTGGTTTCTATTAGCCAAGAGTTAACTATACATAAGTTTTAATACTGCTTGAGACAGAAGGCCGCTCTTGAGATACACCAGATGTTTTACGTCAAGTACTGGTCCTCTATCCTAATTACATCACTGAGGCTGTAGTGTATTGGATGTCACTGATGTGTATAGATAACCGTTCTCGTAGCTGTTATGTCAATGTGATAAAAATATACACATTATGAGATTTTAAAAACCAAGGATATTTAAAAATATGGATGATCAACTTTTGTTTTGTGGGTGGAAACAAATTTTATTAACGGAGTCTATAGTTCCTTTAAAAATTTTCAAATATATAAGTTATTAAATGAAATATTAATTTTTAATTTAAGTAAAAAATAATACACTTAGTTTCTATAGTTGATATTGTTTAAAGGACTACTTGATTAAATCTATAATAGGGATCCGTATTAGGTTCTGGGCTGTAGATCCGGTAAGCCGATACTAATACTTATGTTAAGCTTATGCAAAGCTAACAACGAATTAAACAGCATATTTACGGTTCATCTTTTTAATTAGCATGCCATATATTTTAACCTGGTAACTTCACTGAACCATTCAATATCTTATTTCACTGTAATTTATATTTAAAATTCACATAGTCGTTGTATGTTTATGATAAATCATTGTTCATTCCTATAAAATTCAACAAATAGACGTAGTGAATTTCGCTTATCAGCCTTCCTATTTAACATTGATAGACTAGAGCCTAGTCGAGTGCCTGGATAATGTTTTGGGAACAAATCGAGTTAACCTTTCTCCTCTCGAGTTTTTAGTAGCTAATTAAATAAACAAAGTTTGCTGATTTCCAGATTGAAAACGCCTCAATTCCGTTATTTTCCATAAATAAAAAAGTTGGTTATGATGAGATGAAGCTATTAAAAAAAAATATTCAGTCGGACATCAATAATTTGATAAAAATGTGTCTTTGCCACGGACGATAATTGTAATGTAGTATTTTTACTTTTGTTGTTATAGAATATGACGTACTTTTAATCGTGAATAGTTTTTCTTATTTTATTTTAAAAAGGTATATTGCGTTCTTGAGTATGTGAGATGTAGTACTTGCATTGTCTCTAGCTGACACGAGTTTATGACGCAACTGAAGGTAAACTAAAGACTAAATGGAGAATACCCAACGCCATCGACTGAGGAAACTACAGCTTTCATTAGTATTCGAGCTGAGTCAGAGGGCACTTAATTGTACACGGCGGCTAAATCACGAAAAGGAGATACACCTGGAATAACTCGGTAAATGCCTGGCCGATGAGCTGTAGATAGAGGCCGGTGGAAGCGTGCCTTCCTCCTCCTCTTCCTACCTGCTCATCCTCCAGGAACATGAAGTCATCGGCATCTGCTACCTTGGATGATCCCGAAGGCCGGGAAGCGGTGAATCACTCTGGTGCAGATGTACGCCCGGGACAAAGGCGTTGCATATGTCCGAAACTTCAGCGATCCAGATCGATAGCCCAGCCCTTAATGGAAATGCATATTTCATGATTTTTAGCTGCACCGTCATCGGATGGGTTATTGATTCACCCTAGATATATTGGAAAATAATCCGATTACTAAATGTAAATTGAACTAATCCATTATATTGAATGAACTATCAACATTTTAACACTTGAAGTTGCGAATAGTAGCAACCTAAATAAATATATATCATTTCTGTATATCATTAATGGAATGACAATGTAAAATAGAACACTTACCTTATTGGATATTGAAGTAGAGAGGTGTTGGTAGAGAGCTTAATTGTTCTCTATTATTTTGTCCTGGATGCCTGTCTTTTTTTTTATTTTTTCAAATCACGTTATATTTATTTTGTCAATGTATACTAGAAAAAATTAAAAATAATGAGTGTACTTAACATCTTACTATTACAAGTAAACAATTTGAAATTTTATAATATACTAATTTCATTGTAAAAAATAGAATAGAAATAAATAGTAAAAGGTCTCGAAGCGTCCACATATGTTACTATCACTATATATTATTACCAGCAATTCATACTACAGCGTTCTTGAATACAATCAAAATAATTTAAATACAAACATAATTGGAAACGATATTCACATAGTATAATTTAAACTTCAAATATTATATTATATTTCTAAAATTGACGATGCATTGAAAAATTTCAATTATCTCTGTAATTTTCTAAAATTATTTCAATAAATACTATTTCTTCAAGTTTGTTTCTTATCTTTAAGAAGATTAGTCTGATGAAGTAACTACAAAGGAAAACCAGGACTTACGTTGATTATGATACTACGATGGGTGATCACAATTACTATGAAATACAATCTATTTTAATGGCGGTCATTCATTTCTTATAATTACTCTAGACGATAGCCTTCCTTGAAGCTAAAAATAATCTTATCTCAACAACACTCACGACTATTTCGATCTTTCCGGTGATTCGCTTCTGTGGTTGTCCTTCGCACATTTTTTTTTTGTCAGTACTAGAGATTTTTTTCTCTCGATCGAAAATACATTAGTTTGCTTTAAAAAAATAACAAAAAAAAAGATGACCCAAGTCCAGATGTGGATGATCGCGTCCTCAGCATTCTTGAATCAAAGATTTGTTTGTTTAATTCTGTTTTTTTTTTTTCTTCTGACCAATTTTCGTTTATAAATTATATGACAAACAAGGTGTCAATAATTATTATTGACACATAGTTATAATTATTTTACGATTCAAGTAGAAAGAAAATGGGTATTTATGAGTCTTTATTGCGTCATTAAATTATTTAATTTTCGTTTAAGATGAGATGAAGCTATTCACGAAAGAAAATAACTTGAAGAAAAGCTGTCTGTACCATGGACTAGAGATTAGAGTGACAAACATGTCAAAAACTGAAATATATTACTTTAGACTAGTACACAGCTTGAAATGAGTTTTCTAAGAGAAATAACAAATATTTAACGGAATCTTTTATAATTTTACGTGAATAGCTTCATCTGATCGTATCCGGAAATATTACATTTCCTAATCAATTTAATTTATTTAATCACTAATTAATTAAATTACGTAGTATTAAATGATTAGTAAAATTAATTACTGAAACTTAAAAATAACCATTTGCTTTCTTTTTGATTCGTAACATAATATATAACCACAAATTCTAGAAAAATGTGTTATACAAAAATATGGGCCGTTCAGCCTGACCTCCACTCTCAACATGTCAAAATAACGAGGTTATATTCGCCAAAGGGATCAATATTTTGTAGGTAATCTTTTTTTTCTCTCGATTTTATCATCGAATTGTTTTACAATTGAAGTGGAAAACAAATAGTCCAGTCAAATTAGCACAGGAAAAGGGATCTAACTTGTAAAAGGTCGGGTAGTTCAAATTTCATATTTCCTTTGTTAGGTATGCAGATACAAAAAAAAGTTTCGGCCCTTCAAAGCCTTGTGGGTTCGCTGCAGTGCTCCAAACACCATTGAAATTTTAAATGTTTTTTGGTTTAAACTAAATATCTCCTTTTTAAAGCAACATAAAAAAAAATGGTTATATTCAATCTTAAACAGCTTAAAATTATCCAACACATTTTTTCCAAACCTTACAAGAATCGAATTAATGAGCTTTCAAAATGGGTAAAACTAAATTATTATACATAACGACTTAATAGCTATTTTATTATAAATTATATATATATATATATATATATATATATTTTATTTTTATTTTATTTTTTTTTTCTGTTGGCGTTACAGACCTTGTAGATCTTTGACCGCGAGATGTGGTCTTCTAGACTCCGTTTTCTGATTTAAGTACACGGGGTCATCAGTCCTACGCCCGGTGGGTGTGAGTTGCCTCCAGTAGAGACTGACGGGCTCACAAAACCCGAGGGTTTTCGAGTAGCGTGGCTTTCCCTGGTGGTCGGTCACCCAAATCGGACTGTCACCCATCCAAGTGGTAACCACGCTCGGCGGTGCTTATAACTTGGTTACCTATTGCAAGCGCCTTAGCCCGCACGGCTACCCCAGCCCCTTTTATATATATATATATTGCATTAATAATATAATGTATATATATATATATATATATATTAATATGAATATATTACATTAATAATATAATGTATATATATATATATATATATATATATATATATGTGTGTGTATATATATACAATAACAACCTATAGTTATTGCTAAAATACTGGAAGAAAAAAAAATTAAGAAAACAAATTATAACGAAACCTTATTTCTAAAGTCGCTTGAGGAATTTGGAAATGGATATATTTTTAGATTCTTGAGATTTAATTTTTTTTACAAATTGTATTTCGTTTTATTATCGATATATATATCATTTTATTATTAAATCAAATTCATATTACACATTTGTAATATTTAAAACAAGACAACTATTTTCCTAAAATAGATCATACATCTTGGTTGTGAATTAATACCTTAACACTTAGAATCCGTATTATATGTTTATGATGGTAGTTCTATTTTGCAATCCTTATTTAGTTTTTAAATTTAATTCAAAATAGATTAAGGTTTAAGGGCACGTATTGATATTGCTTAATCTCGCAATTTAATATTTCACATTAATTTTTATTGCACGCCTTTTTTTTTAATATCAACTTCTAAAATACACAACAGAGGGTTGCCTTTGATATTTCTCTTAAACCACTTCATGACAAAGATAAAAACCATACAATAATTTCGATTTATATCTGTTATTGGTTTATAGTTTGTTATAAAATATGTCTGCGACATTAGAACCGTTCTAACATGTATCTGTTAATTTTGAATTGAAACCTAACAGATGCCTGAAAGGAAGGTCCTCAGCCTCGGTTTCATAGTTTTTAGCTGTCAGGTTTCGTAAGACTAAATGGATACCGTTATAGACGACCGTGCCGTTTCCGAAAAACAAAACAAAGAAACTATGTACTTACGGAAAGAAACACACAATTGATTTTGATGGAAAATGTGGTGATATTTTAATAAAGTGGGATGTTGATACAGTATAGGATGATAGGATAATTTAAGATGGTTAATAATTCTTAATTTCCAAAAATACTAGCTTTTATAATCGGTATCTAGATATGGTGTTGTTTCTAAGATGTCACCAAATCGTTAAAAAAAAAAAATATTTAATGTTTATAGCAGCATATCGTATGATATGAACACTCGAGATGAAATATAACGCCGAGTTCGATTTCAATGAAATATTACACTCAGTAAATATTTCATTGAGACAACATCACCATATAAATATGCATTTAGCAAACAGGTTTTAAATCGGTTTGAATTATTAATTGCTGATCCTTGAGTAAATAATCTTAAATGAAATGAAAATTAATTAATGATGATATATAATACCTCTCCTTAAGCAGAAACGCAAACCGACGTATCTCTATAACCCTAGAGTGTGTACCACCCGTGTCTCAGGCTGGCTTAGAATTAGTATGATTAGTGAGAGAGGAATTATAGGGTGCCGTTCCCTTATAAATTACAAGCCCGGTACACAGTAGTAATCCTGGAACAGGTTCCTGGTAGCAGTCATAGGAGCAGTCCACAGATGGTCGGTAACTGCTACACCGTTTATTAATGAAATTATTGTAGTACATCGTTCGTCTTCGCTTGTTTCCCCACCGATATAAATACTCATTGTCAGTCATAGTGACGTCAGTCATAGCATTATTTAATGCTTCATCAGTTTTGTTTTAGTCACCTTCCCTTAACTTCCCCTCTCAAAAAAGAATATACATTTTCATAAATAAACCAAAAATAAAGGAAATTTCTTCTTTGATAATAATTAAAAATATATATTTTTTCCTTGATTTAAATATATATAATATATATATATATATATATATATATATATATATATATATATATATATATATATATATATATATATATATATATATATATATATGTGTGTGTGTGTGTGTGTGTGTGTGATAACAACGAAGCTGACCTATCTCCACATACTTCTTGGCCTACGTATCAAGTCTATGACAATGTTAATCATGCAATGAAAAAACTGTGGAATAAAAACAACAACGCTGAAATAAATTAAACAATCAAAATTAATAATCTATATTTAATAGGAGCTGTCGTTGCTAGTGGTCATCGAAGCGACGTTAAATAACAACAAATACAAAGAATGCACCATCTTATACCTTCCCATTCTTATATCATGGTTGAATTGAGAGAGAGATTAACTTTTTCACTGTTAGATACAACAATGTGTCAGAGTTAAGAAAAAATTGTGATTAATTGAGTTAATATTGATTTTCCATGCCTGTCGTTTTAATTTTTTTCCTTTATCTCCAGCACATTTGCTGATTGTCAACAAAAATTGACAGGTGCAAATGCATTTTTATAGACAAAAAATATATTGAATAATATATGTCACCATATATAGTGTAAAAAAAAAAGAAGAAAATATATCAAATACTTACAATTCAATGTTACAGTCGACAGTAACATTCCGAAATCCAAAAAACTAAAATGAAGTCTACAATAAGACGATATTTACCATGCATTTTTATTTCATAAATTACTTTTTCTGTTTCTTTTTTGTATCCAATGACATATAATAAGATTTAAAGAACGTTTTTGGTTTGTATTTCTAAATCTACGTAAGCCGATATTGATGCTCTCAACCGCACTTCAAGTTAAATTCTGTGATACCGTAGCTACTAAAACGGGTATAACTAACAACAATAAACTTCATAAATATATCATTTAATATAAATTTAACTTAATTTTATTTATTCTAAATATGGATCCTTAAAAAAAAAACTATTTGCTACAGCGAATTGGAAAATTTCGAATTTATTATAATTGAATCGGTGAGTGCAGAAACCACTTCAGTCAAAATAATGCGAAAAATCGTTTTCAATGATAAGAAGCTTAGAAAGAAAAGCAAGATGGGTGTTGAGTGAAAGAACCACGTTAGTCTGTTGAGTTGTTACGTAAATACATGACTTCTTTTTCGATTGTTGAGCTCAGAAATAACATAAGTCAGTGACTGACGTGGTTTCTGCACCCACCGCTGGATCGCATGACCAGCAGAGATGGGCATATTTGTATTAAAAAATATAAATACGAATACAATTTATATTTATGGTACTTATGAATATAAATATAAATGAAAACTTCAAAGTTTTTTATGATGAACTATTTACCTGGCCAACCACAGGCACGTGACAATGATACAATCTTCGAGAATGATCTTTAAGAGCATTTCACTTTGTTATATTCCTGTTTTATAATGGCTGCAATACTGTAACTTCATTTTTGAAATAATATGAAAAAATATATTTTTTAAAAATTGTTGTAAAATAAATTAAATTAAAATTAATATAAATAATGAAATTGTAAAAAAAATAAAATTAATATAAATTGTTGTAAAATAAATTCTCATATTTTCAATTTTCTGTGCCTAATTTATGTCTAAATTAGTTAATTTTTGAATGAAACCAACATAAGTACATTTTATGACAGAGGAAAAATAAAAGTTCAAATATTTGAAAATTTGGAAGAGCTATGACGTTTTTCTGTCTCTTGAAAAATTTGAAACTTGTGACTGATTATTCAATAATTAAATTAACCTAATTGTAATATTTTTTCTTGATAAACATAGTTATTACAAATGTTTACTTCTATAGCATATAGTTTAAATTATTACAGTAGGTGTTATATTTGTAGTCGTTAAACATAAATAATATTACCAGCAAAAACTTATTGAAATTTCTCAAACCACCGATTTTGGATCATAATTTTGTCAATGATATTCACCCAGTAGAAGCAAGCAGTCAACAACTAATCACTATCAACCACCAGACTTTTATAACAACTAGATGGATTTTATAACTCCTAGGAATAGCCTATAATATCTATATTGTTCCTTATACAAAGTTCCCTTTCTCCGGCGCCACCATGGTTTATGATATGGCAATCGGGTTGTAAACGGACTGCGAAAAAATGGCAGAACCCTACGGGAACGGAAAGGATTAATTCGGTAATAAATTGAACATCTTGGCGAATTATTTAATTGCAGGAGGGACTAGGAATCTTTTCTCACGGGTGTAAAATAGCGATTTGGTTCCTGTTTTCCTGAATATAATGATCATATTGCCTTTTCGTAATACATGCTACTTTCGCCAATGTAGCTCTGCTATCATCGACGTAGTTGTAAATTAGACGTAACAATATCATTCAGTGTGTAGCTGATATTACTTCTCCACGGCACAACAAACCGATGCGGTCCTTGGCCCTTTAATTAGTTATCACCAGGTCAATTACCGCCAGATTCAGGCACCCAGCAGCCATATGTACCTACACTTACTAAAAATAATTTGGATATAAGCTTATTAAACGTATGTCATTGTTAAAAAAAATACAAATTCAGAAAGTATAAATTTTTTCAAATATAAAATTTTAAGATAACCAAACTTGTGTGCGTTGAATAATTACTTAGATACTTCAACAACAGAATTTTAATCAAACAATAGTTAAGAATATATAATACAGCCATATGTAATAAAATATCATTTATTATAAGATAAAAACATTTCTGACCTCATAAAAGGTTGAAAACACGGTGGATGAGAGGAGACCTTCTTAAATATGTTTTAAAATTGTTGAAATTATGAAAGAATATATCTCTGAGTAATTCTCTTCTTCTTTAAACATATAGTACTTTGCTCTTGCAATCGCATTCACTGATTATTTATGCACTTTGAAAATAGTGAATAATTTAGTAATTTTACAAAAATAAATAAATATATACAAATTGAAAGATTCTCAGATAATTTGGAAATAATTTTATCAATTTATCATTGAAATCCTGCTTCACACGGTTTGAAGTTTCACTGATTTAAAGTTGCTATAAAATAACGCGCAGCACATTTTTAATGCGAACTAATACAAAATAGCATTATTTTAGTAACTCTATTAATTGACATTTTATTAGATTAATTAGTGTAATAATAATACATATATAATGATAAAGCTTTGAAATATTAATGTGTAATGTTTACAAATTTTATACATTAGGTATTTATCATTTTCATATTCATATTAATATCTGTAGAGTATTTAAAATAGTTGATTAATAATTGCACAAAGCCTCACTAACATATTACGTGCGCAGCAAGTTTATTAAATAGGGCAATATTTTCTTGAAAAGCGTTAAGTTTTATGAACTTAATTTTTTTAATAAACCTTAACTGAAGCATTAATGTCAAAACAGTCTTAACGTTTATTAAATGAAATACTTTTAATAAATTCTATATTACTTTCCACCCAATTGTTTATGGAATGCACATTAACAATTCAAGACTGAGTTCGAATATTCCATTTTCCAAAAATTACTCAGATATTGATTATATTTTTCATTTTATGTTAGTATTTATTTAATTATTTTTTAATGTAGGACCAAATTATAGAAAATAATATAATAATTTTATACATCTTTATAACTACATTTGTATTTATGTATTTTTAAATTTATATTGTTAAATCTTACATGATGTATATCATACCGGATAGATATTAATTTTTAATCATTATGAGTTTTAAGAGATAACGAATCCATTATCTATTTAATTATTGATACTAGTTTATTTATTGTAACAATCAAAATTTATCATCTACTTCAAATTTCTTAAATTTGATAGCGTGAATCTTTTCACTGTTTTGAAAATGCATCTTTCAAACATTTTTATTAGTTTTCAGGTAGATGCAGGCATAGGCACAGACTGAGGGGGAGTTGTTATTTTGCATTCGTATATTTTTTATGTTTTTGTACATATAGTGTGGATGTGATCTTACCTCACTTTAAACAAAGTCCAAGTTACAGAATGTAATATTAAATAAATAAATTTAACAAAATATGTATGACGATTTAAAAAAAAAACTAAGTCTGTTAACAAAGCAACGGTTTGATGTTCAAAGGGTAAATCAATACATAGGTAAGAATATTAAATTAGATGAGTCAGTGGAGTGAAAGCAATCTCCTAGCTCGCTACGATTAGTTTTTATCACTATTAGTTTTGCCTTAGTGAGCATCTGCCAGTCATAAAAAGAAAATTATTGTTTTATGAAACATATTTAGTTCAAAGCGTAACTGTATCCGAGATGGGAGCTTTAATTTTGTTTCTGACCTCATTTCCTCACAAGGCCTGCAAGTTTATAGTTGCTTTTTTTGAAACATTTCGCAAGCACCTGTTATTTTACATCCTCTGCACTCTTGCTGGATTACCCGAAATTTCTCCATTTATACATTCTGCTTCCTTCTCTTCCTATAATCATTCCCTGGTCTGGTCGGCATAGAAGCAGCGGGAGCAAACAGGTGCAGTGTGTACAAAGATGAAAGGAGTAAAACTTGGCAGACGGGAGACTTCAATGGCAGATAAACGATTGAGAAGTGACGTGCGTTTCCTATTCTTCACGGATGTGGGTAGGACTCTTTCTTCTCGGCGGGAAAGGAAGAAAACAAAACGATCCAAGAAACTAATGGCCGATCCTTTCTTCCATTCAAATCCCCAGTAATTATAGAAGCTTGTGCGCGCCGCATAGTTACCCCCTCTCACCTTCAACATGCGCATATGATGTATATACTTTCCTTATAACCGTACCTACAATGACCGTAATTAGAGTATTAATGAGAGATAATTTCATTGAACAAAGGCTTAACGGTTAGACTTTTTACTAGGTCTTTAAGGACAATAG